GAGAACACTAATATTATTTTGTCCATATTTTGTGTTTGAAATAATTTGTTTTGTTTCCGAACTTTATCGCGAGACTTTATTTCAATAACAATGACTTTAAATGTCAAATAGGAACCTGTCAAACTTGTATCAAAGAAGAAGCAAGCCGGGTGTTTCTTTATTGTTTATTTATTAAAAAGCCATTGAACAGGGGATCAAAAATGATAAAAATATCTGCCTTGAACGAAGAATCGGAAGAGGAAAGTGGATCCGAGGAAGAAGTCACAAGAGAAGCGTCTGAACAGATAGCATTGCAGCAGTATGCAAACGCACTCGAACTTCAAAGAAAAGGTAATCTTAAGGAAGCCACCCAGTTACTTAGAGATCTACTTGATACAGAACTATTGTACGAAGTTCAAAAACCCGCGCAAGGTGAGAAAGTACCTGGTCCCTTGTTTAATTTAAAGTATTTGTCGTATAAAAATCTGGCGGCTATACTGACCGCATCAGATGAACTAGACGCGGCTATCGAGGCGTATTGCGCTGCAGCTGAGCTAGACGACACTGATGTCACTCTATGGCATCGACTTGGGCAGCTTTGTATGCGCACTAAACGTTATGAAATGGCGCTCCATGCTTTTCAACGCGGCGCTGAACGTAATCCTCGCCACTGGCCTTGTCTAGATAAGATCGTCACACTCTTACTTGGCCTGGATTACAAGGAGGAATGTATTTCTACCATTCATGACACCCTACAGTTGGATCCTGGGTACTTGCGTGGTTTAGCCTATAGAAAACATATTTACACTGTGTATCCTTACATAAAAGACTTTATGGAATATCTAAACCCTATTTACAAATGGGATGAAAAAGATGATGAACCATTTGATGAGGAAAAGGCTAAGAATCTCATAAATGAAGCAGAAATTATCCATGACACATTTATTGAGCAACAGAGAGCTGAGCAGTTTAAATATGTCCTTCCTGAATTGAAATTAGTAAAACCTGTAAGCAGTTTAAGTTGGAAATCAGTTGGAGATTCCTTAGTTCATATGCATCACTATATGTCGGAGAATTGTTACAGTCATGCATGTAAAATAATAATGGTTTTTGAAAAAGAAGATAAACAAGAACTTGTAGAGGTGTGTGAGGAGCCAATGGAAGTAGAACAGAAACCTGAAGAAAATAAAGTAGAAGAAGCCGTGTTAGAGCCAGAAAAGAATGTTGAAAATGTATCAGAAAATGAAAACAATGATCTATCAGACAAAGATAAAACTGCCACTGACACAGAGAAAGTTGAGAGTGATGTTGAAATGGCGACAGAAAATGTTGAGAACCCTGCTGATAATAAACAACAAAAGAAAGCCCCAGTGAGAAGAAGAGGCAGTGCACTAAGTTTCCTAGAAATGTGGGAGTGGTGTACTAAGCGAAGATCTGGACGAAAAAAGCCTACAAATAAACAAGAACAGGATGAAAATATCTATGAAACTCTTCGAAGAATGGTACCAATTTCATTAGTTCCAGAGTTGGTTGAGAAAAAAGAAAACCAAGCTCGAGTAACATCCCCAGATGTATCAGACATTGATAAACTATTTGAGGCAAAAGACAAACCCGAAGAACCTGAAATCACATATTTTGGATCTGAAGATGAACAGAAGGATGTTAAGAACTTCATTAATCAATACACAGAACAGAAAAAGGATATAATTGATATTTTGAATGATTTCCTGAATATTTTGGCATATAAGTGGAGAGAGAAATGGCCCAAGGGACTCTCAGAAGTGTTTATTGAAGCTAATAAGTGCTATCTTAACCACATTGATATTCCTACATGTACCAGTGATAATGATGATGAATTAGTACATTTCACAACTGTTAACATCTTAGTAGAAGAGTTCTTAGTAAATGAAAAGTTGAACAAATCTCCAGAAGAAGAAAAACATGAATTGAGTGTAATTGAAAGTATAGGTATTATATTGAGTGTAAAGCCAAACATTTTCAAAACTACTGACTGTTTAGATTTTACACTTCGCTATCTCTGGGTGAAACTACACATTCAACTTTTGAATAAATGTAATGAGTTTGCTCTGGACTGTCTGTATCAACTTGTGTGTGAATTTGAAGCCATGGGTGAACACCATGATACATACAATCTAGATATACTCAACTTCACACATAAACCAAAAATTAATGAGAGTGAGGTCTTAGCTGCAATAAATGACCTCGAGAGAAATGAGAAACTTTCAACTGTTATAGAATTATATGACAAAGGTGACTATGAAGAAGTATTATCGATAGTGATTGACAGTTTTGAACACTGCAAAACAATTGCTAAAGTTGAAGAACAGGTGGCTTTAGATTTTGCAGTACATTTGGCCGTAATACTGGACACCTATTGGGCTTTGGACAGGCCAGATGAATGTTTCAAGTGGTCTCTCATTTGTCTACACGAAGCTCTAAATCACTACTTTAGATTTACGACAGGATCTCAAGATTATGATAAGTGGACCCTCACAGTTGTTAAGATACTCTGTTGTATGGACCACATACTAACAACAGAAGGTTTGACGTGTCTGGACACAGTGTCGCAGAAAGAGCTGAGTCAGGGTCTAGAAGATCTCATCTGAGTAATTGGTCATCAGGTTGAGACAAATGCTTCTGAAATGCCTTTCGGTACTGTAATCCCGTGGATCATAGTACACTACATATTACAAAGAGAGGAGGATCAAGGAAGAGCAAGAATAGATAACGACAAAGTTGTGAGTGATGAAGATGTTCCTAACCCATTAATGGTATTATTCATTGCACATGAACAACTGGGGAAGAGAGGCTGGTGTTGTAAGTCTGAAGGCAAACTGCTGTACTTTACTTTAGACACAGTAGTTCCAAGGTTGCGTTCACCATCATTGGCTAAATCTTTAGAGCAGGTTGTGCAATATATGGAGCAGTGTGTGTTTTGTTTGTTTGGGCATCCTGGAAAGAAAAACAAATTGAAATACCTTGTAGATCATAATGTACCACCTTATACTCTAGATTGGAAGAGAGCGCAGCAGTTGTATGAGATATTCAGACCTCCAACATTGCCTGCACTGGAGGGCAAGTTGCCCGGCATCACTGCTGACACTGAGCAGTTATTCCATAAAATACTTGCTCTGCTTCCCCCGGAATGTGATCCTCAGAAATACCTTCCAGACATCGAGAGATACATTAAAGGTCTGGACGATAAAATGCCTCACGCTCCATCTCTACTACCATATAAAATGAAGGATATTTACTTTTTGTTGGGAGACTATTATTACAAAAGAGAAGAAGGCAAGTTAGGAATAAAGTTTAACATGCTAGACGTTGCTCTGAATAACGACAGAGTGGAATCATGGGCACGTATATCTCTCGCCAAAAGTGTAAATTTAGAAAGAATGTTGAATTCCTGTAAAAATCTCAATCATGAAAGAGAATTTCTAAACCCCGCAAAATCAGTGATACGATGTTACAAGAGATGTATGGAGCTGGATCCTACCAACTGCGATATGTGGACAGAATATGGCATGTTCGCGTATTACGTACACTCGTTCTGTTCTCGAGTCTTGAAACAAGCGAGTGAATCTCTAAGCATGGAAGATTTTGAGTCTTTAGAAAAACTGAATGAAGACATGTTAGATATTACACATAAAAGCTTCATTACCGTGCAGAATCAACTTAACAATAGTTCGGAGTCCGACAAAATAAATGATGAGTCGTGGCTACACTTCTATATGTTAGGGAAAGTGAGTGAGAAACGTAACAATCCACCTTCAGTATATTTAGATTACTATATGAAATCCGTAAAAAGTTTACAAGAAAGTAACGCAACGTACCCTTCGAAGATTAATTACAATACGCCAACACACTTATGTGTAGAAGTATTAGAGTTACACTACCGGATCCACGCATCGATATTGAAGTATATAGAACAACACGAGAGCAAACCAATACCTGCATCAGTAGGCAAGGTACTCTCCACGTGTATTGAAGACTGGAAAAAAGGTCCGTTTACAAGAAAGCCTAAAAAGGACGGTCCTGTAGAAATGGAAACGAATACCGAACCCAAACCTGCGGAACCTGTTCACGCAGCTAATATTCTCAAACGGTCTATTAGCGACGCTGGTGAAGAAGAATCTCATGAAGCTAAAAGACTAAAGATGGAAGCAGCGGCAGCTAAAGTTAGGCGGTCAGCTTCGTATGACACTGAAAGAAAATCTAAAGAACCGATTAAACAGAGTTTAGAAGTCACTGAAACAAAAACAATTGAGACCACGGAGGAGAAGAAACAGGACGTTACAAGCGAGAATTTGCCACAGACTACTCTCCCGCCGCCGCCAACACCAACAGAACCTACCAAAGAAGTAACACCTGAGATAGAAAAACATTCAGAAGAGAAAAAAGATGAAACGGATGGTGAGAAGAAGGAGGATAGTTCAAGTAGCACATCTTCTTCATCGTCGTCGTCAGATTCCAGTTCGAGTGAAACATCATCGGACAGCAGCAGCGACTCTACTACCGACAGTGACGCATCCAAGTCGTCGAATGACGCTAAACCAATGGTAGATGATGAGATCATGAAGATAGTGTCAGCCTGTTTAGACGCGCTGGAAGACTGCGCCAGCCGGTTCCCACCACATTATAAGGCCATTTACAGACTCGCCCATTATCACTTTTATTATAAAAAGGGTAAAGATATCGAAAGATGTCGAGATCTCATGTTATCCAATTTCACTTCAAGATCTGGTCACAAAATGGGAGGATTATTCAGTGAAAGGAAACCCTCTAACTTTTTTAATAATATATGGAGAATACAGATTGCAGAGGTTGACAGGCCAGGTAGCTTCACATTGCACATGAATCGATCTGTACTCCTCACAATGGAGATATTGAAAGAAATAGACGATCACAAAACACTTTTGGAACTCAGTATTGTTTTACAGAAGATACCAGAACTTGACAAAAAGTATGTGCGCGACTCTGATAGAGAGGAACTGTCTCAGCAAGCATTCTCACTGTGCGTACAATCTTTGAAAGGACAACTGATCAAATTCAGCCAACAAGCTGATTTGAAGATCAACGAGGTGGAGCGGCAAGCTCTTAACAGTTTTATGTTGGATATTTACAGAGCTTATTTAAAAGTCCAGAAACAACCGAATGCTAAACAATTCACGAACTTAATAGTTGAGGGTTACAAGTTGCTTAGAAATGATCCCATCCCGGAGAATATTAATGCAGTTGATTTAAGTTTGAAATACTGTCATAAGATGCTTCTCAAAATTAAGAGTGACGCCATGATGGCTAGTGTGGATAAAAGTCAGAATGCTCAGAAGAAACAAGCTGCTAAGGCTGCTGTTGCCGAGACTTCAAAAGCTCCCGCTCCAAGCGTGCCAAGAGTTGAAAGTCTACCAAAGCCGGAGCAGAAAGCACCACCACCTTCAACTTCTGCGGCGAGCTCGAGTTTACCAAAAATGTCGCCGCATGAAATGGCCGCCGCTTTCCAGAGCTACTTGCCGATGTTGAACGACCCTGTACTGTCACAGCAGACGGCAGCCGCCTTGTCTTTGTCCTACTTATCGAACATGAGCGTTTTTAGCGCATACCCGTCATTACAGAACACGTTACAGAATACTCTGCAGAATTCTTTCCAAGCCGAGTTCTACCGTCAGTTCTTAGGGCAGAGCTTCCCGTCCTTTATGCCGCCTGCAAAGAAACAGAAACGTGGCCCTAAGCCGGGTTCCGTGCGGTCTACCAACCCACAGATGAAGACTTCCAAGTCGTTCACTGCGCCTACAATGCCTTCGACTAGTAAAGCTATTCCGACGCCCGTAATAAGTTCTTTGCAGAAGTCTAACTCTACACCCATGACTCCCAGTATGGGGTCAGTGCTGCAGAACTTGCCAGCCTCGATGTCGGCCAACCTAACTTCATTTCCGACTCACTCTTCGTCACACTCGACTCACTCTATGCCGGCGCAGGCGCACATGTCTACAGCGTCCACTGTGAACGCGGCGATACATACAAAGCCGCCGATGCCACACCAGCAAGTCAGTCCGGGGAAGACTCTGCAAGAGAAACTGGCGGAGCGTCAGAAGCATCTCCCTATTTCTAAGAATCATGAGATCAATGCATCTATTAGTAAGCTGCCTTCCTCTCTCACTATAACTAAGACCTCAGTACCTAAACCCGCGCCTAAGAAGCCGGAAGCTAAGAAACAGCTGCCGTTTACTGAGAGACCCAAACCCATCACGTCGGACGAGGTCATTGTACTCGATGATGATTAAATTATGATTATTTATATCTAAAGTTAAATTAGAGTTTAAACTATATTATCAAACTATAGTCCTTTGATTCAATAAATGAAATACAATCAGTCAAACGTATTTTAAATTTATTTCTTAAAAAATATTAATTATTTTACTATTTACAGTGTTGTAGTTATATGAAAATATGTTTAGTTATATTGTTACATTATGTTACATTGCTCACGCAGTATTAAGTAATATCAGTGATTGTTGGTAGCATCCTTGTTACCTGCAGAAATCAATATAAATGCTATAATTTATTTATTAACCAGTCACTATTTATTATCCTGCCTTACAAAGTATAGTAACATGGACTCATTCTTATATTTCCTTTCCTTTTTGACTCTACCCTCAATTACTTAAAATTATTATTGTAAATCTCCTTGCTTCACTTGTAAAGTATAAATTCATGGCATTTGTGTATTTATTTTAGTTGGAATTGCTTTCGCCACATACAGCCCCAAAGATTAAAGCCATACTATGATATCAATGAATATTTTCAATAGTTGCACTATCGATAACTTGGTTCCAGTCACTAACTCAATTATATCGATATTTTGGCAACTTTATAACACATTTTACACCACTACACTGGCGATATAATATGAGCTTACAGTCGTTTGACAGTCCCACTCCACTGCTGGACTATCTGCCTCCTCTACACAATCTCCACCAAGGCAGGCGGATCAAAGATGGTTCCGATCCTTACAGAAACCATTTACCGTCTTAGCAAAGTTTCCGAATGATGTAAAATACACCCTATTCATAAGACTTTAGTGTATAATTTACAAGTGTCGCAATATATGTTGATCAGTGCAGCACCCTCATCATGTAGAAGTAGACGAGCATCTCGCTGAGGTTCCACCCCATCGCGAGGGTCGCCAGGTATGTGAGGAACAGGATCGGTAGGGGTAACAGGAACACGCGGGCGTTTTGCAGCATCGGGAGATCTGTTGGACAAACGTATAGATATTTGTTGGTTGCAAACAAAGTGATATTTACCCTTTTTTTGGGGAATTTCGTGTGTGAATGAAATGTAACATAAAACCGTCCATTGCTATTTTTCTTTTGAGATCTATGTGGGAACAGCAAGATTGTATTGGCCAAAATGAAATTATAAAACCCATAGTTAGTAAGTATTGTGAATAATCCGTTAATCGACGAGTTTTGTTACGATTAATCGGTACTATTTAGAATCTATACTACTCGGTATAATTCGCCCCGAGTAGAACGATTTCTCTTAAAAGTTGCATTGGTAGTCACAAATACAAAGCGAAAACCAAAAACGAATTTATTTAGTTTTTTTTTTAAATAATTTCCCCACTGCTAATTGTAAACTTACCCGAATCGACAACTTTTCCATAATCTGAAAGTCATTTTAGATTTTAGTGCGAGTGCAGTCAAGGGCAAATACGTATGGCTGTGCCATAAATCTGGTGCAAAACAAAATGTATGGAGTCTGATACTTACTGCTGTACCCTAAGAATGTGATGTAGAGGTAGTAGATGATGGATGCCAGCCAGAATGTGTTGGACACCAGACAGGACAGGAAACCATCACGGAACAAGATATCTGAAAAAAAAAATCGATGCATTTTTGTCAGATGGTTCATGGACCTACTGGAATGTATATTAAGCTATGTGTACTGGCGATGCAACCGCGATCAGTTCTGTCTTAGGTAAAATGTTAATTAACTCGTCGAGTACCGTCATTATAGACACAATTATAGAACAATAGGTTGCGGTCACCGGTGACCGCTTGGTGTGTGACAGTTTAATGATGTTGTGCAATTAATTTTATGTATGGTTTCATAACATTTTAGTTTTCCTTAGAACCTGTTTCAAAGATCCAAGATATGTTTCTAGTTGGCAGATATTTTAATATTAGATATTTTTCATACAAACATTGAGACATTTTTAATTCTTCTGATGGACGTGTAGACTATACGAGACCGATTTTAATTTAACTGTTATCAGAAAATACTTACTTTCAAAGAAGACGATTTGGAAGAAGTGCAGCAGTGAGAGCGGCGGGAAGAACGCGTTGATGTGCACGTCGAACGCGTAGCCCCACTCCACGTCCGGCCCGTCCGGGTCCCGGCGCAAGTACGTGTTACTTACATACCTGGAAATATTTTTAAGTTAATGTACAAATGATTTAAGCTGGGGAGACGAATTTAATGTTAAAATACTTTTCATAGTTCGTAATTACGACAAAAAGAAAAACAATAATGGCAATAATACTACATCCATACGAGAATTAAAACCAAGTCTGTAGTTGAAGCTCTACTAATAAGTCTGTAAAGATGGCAGTAAAGATTTCTTCTAATTTCTAAGATAAGAAGTTTAAAATTCTGCTGTAAATTAATTATGAAAAATTATGAAGTATAATGATAATATTCAGGTACTAACCAAAAGAATGTAGACACAAGTATTCCAGCTCCTATGAAGTCTACAAATACTACAAACAGTACAAACAGCGCCACCTTTCCTGCTGTCAGGCCCATCGCAAGGCCCAGGCATATTGAAGATACTGAAACACAATCAGGTTTCATACTGCAATTAACTGAACTAAAAAAAATTTTAACTGAATGATCTTTGAAAGGCAACACTTACAAGTTCATAAAATTGACCTGGAATTATTATCAAGGGTTTTATGGGGTGAAAATTATCTTAAATTTTTAGCCTGCCAAAAACAGTGAGTTACAGATAAGCTACTCTACAACAATTTGATTTAGTGATTTAACTGGAGAAAACAATAGGCAGATTTACTAAAAAAATTATCTATTACAATACTCCTTCACAATTTTTTATACTACAACTGATTAATACAGAATTAATATTAATTCATAATTTTTATAAATGTAGTACTCTAATATAATAATGTAGTGATAATGTACTATTAATACTCATTCAGAATTTTTTATACTACAACAAAATGTATGAAAGGGTTGCCTGATTTAAAATTTATATTACCTATCTATTTATGGTTACAAAATAGTGAATGGTGTCATCCACTGAAGAGACTGATAGTTAAAAGATGGAAGATAAGATAGTACATACTGTGTATTAGCAACTTAAGTAGCACTTTACTAATAATAATACAGTAACTGGTGTGTGGGATATAAAAATCTTACAATAACTTGTACAGTAAATAAAAGGCAACAATGAAGGAAGTTGAGAGGAATTTAGTTGCTACAGAAATTGCAAGGAATAAAATAAACAAGGAAGATAAACTTGTTGAGACGAAATAAACCAATGTATTGTGCGTACTTTACTTTATATAGCCCGACAGAGCCTCCACACATGTTTTAAAAAGTTTATAATAGTGATGATACTTACAGAATAACCATACACTAAGTAGAACCAGGAATGCAGGGTCATCTCTTGCAAACTGCGACTTTGTATCTGAAAGTAATAGTTACAACTTATGTTATGTTCCTTACTGTGTTTTATAGTGGTTTATGAAGCATTGAAGCTATACAAAATATGTTTTTATGACTATATAAATACTATCTGGTACTGAGCTATTTGCTTAATTATATATTATTAAGTTAATTCAATTACTTATAACAAAGTTTACAAAGCTGTAATGTTCTGACAGGAACCTCTAACTTCTCAACAGACCAATAAGAATATTGATCACTACCGCAAAGTTAACTTCGACGGTTCATTAATCTGCCGTCACCACCCGACACTGGCAGTATAGTCGACAACATCGTATTGGAGACTCGGTTGCCAAGAAGAAGAAAAAAAAAAGGATATTGATCATCTCATGGAGTACCGTCATTATAGACACAATTAAAGATCAATAGGTTGTGGTCACCGGTGACCACTTGGTGTTTGACAGTTTCAATTAAATTCTTAATGAATACTTACGTTTTCTATAATTGAAATTTCTAAACACTTTCTGTGGTGACACAAACAGATACACCATTTGCCAGGCAGCAAACTCAAAGTCCATCTGATTGAATTTGAATAGTCTTCTGATGTATTTGTAGCGCTTCACAGCCGCGCTGGCTGTCGTAGGCTGGTAATTAGCAGGCGCTGGTAATGGAGATGTACTCCTTGGGTAGTTACTCAGGCTCGGAGTAGGCGACGTCGAATACTTCATTTTGCACAAATTTTGTTACCAAAATCACGACATTAAGGCTATTAATAAGGTTCAATATGTACTCTTAAATATTATTAAGGCCATATATTCGAGTTTAAACAATGTTTATTTATTTTATTCAAATTGAATGTAAAATTAGTCACAGCAGTAATCAGTAAACGTCAATTTATTTTGCCGAATTGTAAACGTCACTGTCATTTTGAGGTTTACTCTATCTAATGTACACAGACAAACAAGGACAGTACAACTTTCATGTTCAAGATATATGATGTCACTCGTTATGACTGTTTAAAGGTGACGTTTAACATTTTACGTTCGGAAATAAGAAATGTTTCAAACGAGGAACGGATTGATCGTGGAGACAAGGAAGAGATTATGTAAGAAAGTTCATATGAATGTAATTTCTCGTCTGTGTTATTAGAGTAGACAGAAGCATACTTCCAAGCTCCAACTTCATCAACATTTTTTTAGGGATGATCTATCTTGATGTTTTATATCTGTTTTTGGTGCTTGCACCGCAATCTGCGTTTTGAAATTGGGTAAATGTAAAATGAAAGAAAATATAGGTATTTTAAAATTGTATTTACTTACTTAAAACTAACAGTCAGTAAACATTATCACAAAATATTTTATTAATTACAATTGATGTCAATATTTTTAAATTAACTTTAGCTTAGAAAAGACTTGATGACAAATAAAAATAAATTAAGTATGGTCTCAAATATTATAAATAAGTACCTATACCTAGTAATATGACAAACTTATGCTTCTACATCCTGTACTTTAGTACCTACTTCTATTGAATTGAATGGTAACATGAGAGACGGTGGTTAATAAATGTATACGTAAATACTAGTTGAATTAGTACTTCTAAGTAGGTATCTTATATATAAGATGAACAGCAGCAGTAGACCATGTCATGTCAAAAAATAATTTGACTGTACTTCTTTCTTACAAATATTTCACTTACGTATGTATTTTTACAGTTTTATTTTTCTAACTACATAATTTAGTTGAGAATATGACATTAATAGATTACACTGTATTTTGTTGCAACCAGTGTGTATAATGCGTGACTCTAGTGTACACGCCGGGGTACCCAGGCTCTCCGCATTTGTTTCCGAACGAAACCACTCCGATTTGAGTCCAACGACCCCCCACTTGCAGCATTAGCGGACCTCCGGAATCACCCTG